ATATTACAAAATCAAGAAAATTTCCAGATAAATATTATTTTTCACGCGACGGACGAGTGAAGATATACACTCCATTTATAGGTTGGCCGGCTTTGTATTTGGAAATGGCTAAGAGAATCAAGAATGTGCCTTATTTAGTCATTAAGGGCACTAAATCTGACTACATTAATGAGGATTCCAATGAAGTAATCGATGTACTGCGCCAGAACAATCCGCACTTCGAATTTCATGAGATTGATGGCACCCATCATGTGCACTTGAATAATCCGTCGGAATGCGCAGCCGTTATAAATCCATTCATTAATGCTCACAGGCCAGCTATGCCCAATAGCTGGGCTGTTGATGACGACGAAACTGTGCTTAGAGGCAATCAAAGTAGAGACCGTAACAAAAATGCAGCCAAGCGGCGACTTAGGTGGCTTAGGAGTAAGCTGTGATGAAGTGGAATATTTTATATGTGTGTAGAGCTTTGAAATTAAAAAAAAATTAATAAAATTGCCTATTATTAGTTATAGATTATTTATATATTTTTACTATCGGCGAAGTCAGTTTGAGGCAAATATGTATGTAAAATGTCCTTTAGAAAAAAATATATGTATATATGTATGTTCTTCTCACACCTCGATTTAGTTTGATTTGTTTCTTCTTGGACAATTTAGAGTTTTGCAAAATTACACTGAGGGGATAAAATATTAAAATCAAATAGAAACGTAATTGATCTTACTATAAAGGTCAACGAAAGTACTGTATATTGGTGAAGTGAATAATCAAGACAAAAACTAAAAAAAAACACATTTAACTTGCATGTTTTGCCTGCAGTGGAATTCGAACCCTGACCATCTCTGGATATCAACAAATTGTGGCATGCATCTTTGTGCACTCAGCTACACCCGGACATATAAATTTGCTTTCAAATGTTGAATATCCATCAACACCACAGCACGCGATTTGTAAGGTTAACATGCACTATGTATGAATGGGTGTGTTGTCACCGCTCTCAGAGCGGCGCTCTGCATGCTTGGGGTGCGTATGCACACTCATATATATACTCAGATGTGAACAGTCAAATACGTGCATAATAAATTTTGTACGAAAATATTATTTTTAAATTTGAACATTTTTAAACGATAATCAAATATAAAGTATTCATTTTTACTAAGCATTATTTCCCTCAGTGTATATATCACTAGCACTCACGATCCAGAAAATAAAGGTCGCGGCATTCGCGGACCGCTAACCCTCTCATCGTCGATTTGACAGCATCCACCCAATCGCTGACGTCATAAAATACTTTTGTTTACATTCACGGTTGCCAACTTAATGCTTTTTGCACCAAATTTAGTGGGTATTCAAAACGCGAACATTTTTGAGTTTGGTGCTTGGTGCGTTTTTGGTGCTTGGTGCGTTTTTGGTGCTTTTGTTTTTAGTTTGAAGACACCAAATTATAAAATCTTAAAAAAATGGAAGCGTGGTAAGCAACTTCAAAAAAATTTAAATAAAATCATGGCACAATCATAAGCGACAACAAAATATGTGGCAGCACCTTCAATCAAGCCAGAAGAAATCGACCGTCGGGCAAGAAACATTCATTTTTATTAATTTGAATCGGCATCCTTACAATATAATTATGTATGCATATAAAGTCCATAAAATACACCAATAAATATTTGGTGCTTTTTCAAATTCAAACCTTGGCAATACTGCCTTTTGTTCGATGCTTCCTCTTTTTCTTGTCGAGTTCGTCTTGCTCTCTCATTCTGGTATTTATTGACGTCACGGCCAGTTACTCTCAGCTCGATTGGCGCAATCTTGTATTCTATCATTCTTGACTAGCACTGCCACATGGAAGTAAATTTGGTACTCGCAACCTGGGGACTTCCAGGCTGCTTCTTTCTGCAAATGATTTTTTTGTGTGTTTGTCTCAATTTCTAGAGAAATCAATACTTTCTGCTCGGACCCACTTGCGGCGAAAGTTTTTCTCCAGGGGGGCTACTCTGTAATGCGATGCGAAAGAGAAATGCGATGCGATAGGCAATCGTCACAGGGTGTTACTTACGATGTATTTGTCTATCGCATCGCATTACAGAGTAGCCCCAGATCAATGGGTTGTACTAAATCCATGGACATACAATATTTGTGAAATGCAAGCTAATAATAATTTAAAAATCCATAGAATTTTTCAACATTTTAGCATCAATTTCGTGGGCTTTATTCATAGTCTTGTTGATTCCTAGCAAAAGTTCATCGAGAGATAAGTAGAAAAATTTGATTTAAAAACATTTCCCCATCCAACAAAAAAAAAGTATTTGTAAAAAGTGGTCATCCATATTTTTTAAAATTAGTTTTAGTCCAAAATAATGTTTTTTTCTTAATATGTTGCAATTACTCGTATCTAATGAAAATGAGGCAATTTTATAATTTATTTCTACAAGAGGAAAAAGTATTTTTCTCAAAGATTTGTTTTTTGCATCCGTCGGCAAATTTTTTATTTGTAATTATGGTAGAAAATGATTTCAAAGTATACAAATTATTATTATAATTATCATTTTTTTATTCCGAATTTTTTTTTATTCCAAACAAATTAAAGTTAATAGTTTGCCGACAAAATTCGTATTACCAAAAATAACTAGTTCTATAAAAAAATTTCGTAGTGGAGAAAAGCTTAGAAATTGTCAAAAAGCAAAAGCGAATTAAAGGCTTTTTCTTTAAAAAATAAATTCATCAAATGGTTGAACTTTTTATTTGTAATTTCGGTAGAAAATTATTTTAATATATACAAATTATAATTTTTTTAATTTTTTTTAATTTTTTTATTCCAAACATTTTTTATTCCAAACAAATTAAAGTTAATAATTTACTGACAAAATTCGATTTACTGAAAATAACTAGTTCTATAAAATAATTTCGTAGTGGATGAATTTAGTTAATAAATAAAAATACTGTGGTATTATGAGTAGGTAAAAAATCACTAGATTTAACGAATTTTTCGATATTACGAATTAGGCGAACAACATACGATTCGTTATATTGAACGTTCACTGTACTTACCAACCCATTTGTTTTAATTAAAAAATATGAAATCTAAGTAAAATTAAAAATTTTATTTTATCTATTTAAAACAAATTTTTTCTTTTTCCCAAAAGGCATTTTTTTTCCTTAAAAGTTCTGCCAAAAATATATTTTTTAAGTCTTCGTAATTTTTTCTAATTTTCTCAAAAAAAGAAAAACATTTTTTTAATGAATGGCAAGTTTAGCCAAAATTTTTTTTTTAATTTTTGGTAAATTCTTTAAATTTGTATGACAATAATTTTTCATTATGAAAGGAGAGGTTTTGGGAAACATGTTTTCTTTGGTCATGAAAGGGTTAAGAAGGCTTTATTTCGAAAATAGTTCAAAAGAGGTTGCCAACTGTTTAACAGTGTAATTAAATTTAATCAGTTATTTTAAAATGAGCTTTATTTTTGGAGTGTTTAACCTGTTCCAAAAATCAAATTCAATTAAAGCAAACAGTTCCAAAGCAAAATTCTTTCGTCTCTGCAGAAAAGATTTTCCACCCATAACAAATATTTATTTGGCTTAAGCTACTGATATCTAAAAATGAGGTATTTTAACAAAGTAGTTATATGATTTTATTCAGACAAATTTTTTAAAAGAATTGTTACCCATAAAAACTATTCAAAAACGTATACGTATAATGTAAAGACTACCTACGAATCGTAATTTGTTTTTATAATGAAAGGCCAATTTACTTAGTTCAAATTCGACCATGTTCTGGAGACAATAAGCCGCTTTAAAAAAAATATTTTATTATTTTCGCTGAAGTAAATAATAATTTTTATTTTTGTTACATTTGAAATCCTAACGTTACACCAAACTTCACGCAGACAGGGCTAGTCTGTTTGTCTCATAACGAAACCAATATACATACATACATCTGCTTTTGCTTAAGGTTATATTTTTGGTCTTTTTTCTATCTAGATCCCTACCCTACCCCTGGTCGTTCTAATTTAATTTTTGTTATTCTGTTTTTCTTTATCTTCATTTTTAACTTTATACTCTATCGATAGCAAAATCTATAGTAACATCCAACAAAATATCGATAACAAAACCGATAAAAGTATCGATAACAAAATCGATGACAAATTCGTTAAAAATTTCGATAGCAAAATCGATAATAATATTGATGGCAAAATCGATTGGAAAATGGATAAACAATTTAAAAATGGATAACAAAATCGATAAAAATATCGATAACAAAATCGACAAATGATCGATAACAAAACGAATAACAAAGTCGATAAATAATCTATAACAAAATCGATAAAAATATCGATTATTATATCGATAAGTTCCGAATATATGGATAGAAAAATTGCTAAAAATTTCGATAGCAAAATCGATAGAAATTTCGATAACAAAATCGATAGAAATTTCGATAACAAAACTGATAAAAATATAAATTTTTATATCGATCAGTCCCGAGAATCCCTAAAATCTCTAAAAACCCTAAAATAGTTCCCAGTTTGAGTCTCTGTGTCTCTATCTCTATCCTTTTCTCTACAATTACCTTTATTTTAATCATTCTTCCCCTATCTTCAATTATACTTTTATCGGTATCATTATCCTCATCTTTTTCTTTATATTTATCTTTTTTTGTACTTTTATGTTTATCATTTTCTTCATCTACATATCCACCTTTGCCCTTATATAAGCAAAGTGTTTAAATTTACCTTGGTCGTCATTTCATTTTTTTTCATCCATACAAATCAACCCGCCCTATTGTGCATACTCTCAAGAAGCACTTGTTTCAGCCCCAACCTATTCCGTTGCACCATTTCCATGTGAATTTTCGTTTAATTTACCAATTTACTCCCAACCAACCAACCGCCGATAAAGAAGTTTCACTTCAAAAAATTTCGTCTCAGCCATGGAGCTTTTGCATAAATAATTGGCATCTTATTTTTTTATCCAATAATATTTGTTTGATCTACGGTAAGCTCCAACAATTGCATGCTTCTCGATAACCCATTGATCAAGCAAAATCATTTTAGTAAAAATTAAGTACAAGTAAGTATTTTCATAAATCATTACGTACATAGGTCGCACCTCCACCTTTTGCCTTTCGTATAGTCAGTCGGGTGTAATACGTTGTTTACTTTTCTTCCTAGCCAGCGAAACTTAGCCCACTTGACGTAAATAAATATAAATCTTTCCTAATTTTATTTAAAGGTATTTGCATGCCGTCAAATATTTGACTTATATACGGCAGCGGTTTTATCTGTCCGCAAGGTAGACTTGAAAATGTATTGGATTAGTGGCGAATGTAATATTTGTCGACTTAGCTGCTTGCAAAGTTTCTCTCCCTCGGCAGCATTATCGAGAAATTTATTACTTTGTGTACAAAAATATGCACAAAGAGCGTAAAAAAGTGAATGTGCTTGCTTGCCAGAAACGCGCATTTATTCAAAGCAACGCTTACTTATACCAGC